CTTGGGTACCCTCATTGCCACACAGCACACACTTTTAGCCCCAAACCAACGAACTGCCAGCTGGCCAGCGACCACCTCCACTTAGGGTAATGAGTTCCATATGTTTCCATAAGAACCCAGCTAAGCTTTTCCCCAGCAGTTCTTGAAAAGTGTTTTCTCCCTCTCCCTGGCTCCCAACTCATTCTTGGCCACCCTTGTTTCATTTGCTCCTAATGAGGGCGATAGGAAGGGGGCTGGGTGGCAATGACAAGGAGACAATGCTTTAGGGAATTACCATCCTCTGACTTCACATTTCCAGATCCTAAGGGTGAGGGACTGTGCAGTCCACCAGCCCCTTGCAGTCCTTCTGTGAGAGTTGTAGGTGAGGCTTCAGCTGCCCCATCTCTAAAATGGGACTAATAATCCCTGCTCAGGGTAGGCAGAGTATCACAATAAGAGCCTTAGATAGGAAGCTAGGAGGCTTGGATTTGAGTCCTTTCTTGACTACTAATTTGCTGTGTCCCTGGGCAGGCTCTTTCCCTTCTCTGGGCCACACTTGTGACCTCTAAGGGCCCTTCCATCCCTGATAGGCTTTGGATTTATGACCAAATGACACAAGGTACAGGGAAGAGTATCAATTTACCTATTAAACATGGGTGGCTCCAGGATTAGGTCCCCTAAGCCTAAGGCCTCCCTACTGTGGGCATTGTTACTGCCAGTCTGGGCTCCCTTTGACCACAGTCTGGCCCAATTAGGGCTTCTGCCTCCAGCTTCTGGCACAAAGTAGGAGCATGATGGTGTTGAGAAGTTTCCCCAGATGGCAGGTCAGCTCTGCCACTTGGGTGGTGAAAGAGGCGGCTATGGGCAGCCCCCAGACATGGAGGGATGTGAATCTGATTTCAGAGAGCTACAGGACCCCCAGCACCTTATCTGGCTTGACTAAGGCAATCCCCAAATCCTGGTCTTAGGGTGACCCACTACCCTCATCCCAACTGTCCACTGACCCTACCCAAAGACTGACTCATTAACGTTGGCCACTGATACTACTCAGACTGACCCTCACACCCAGGCCACAGACTGACTGCTGTGGCCTTCTACCCAAACTTATCCCCAAACCCAGCCACACCCTGGATGAACCCCAATTCTGGCCACACTCTGACCCCTCACTCTTTCAAACTGACCCCTGATGTTGGTCACAAAGTGACCCCCTGACCTTGACACTGACAGCCTTAACAGGAAAAATAATCAGAAAACAAATGCTAAACTCTGTGAGTGAAATAGGACATCAGAGTTGAGAGACTGAAGCGGGTTGGGGAGGAAGACTGGTGCAGAGGGCAGAGGCTTTACGGAGGACCCCCGGTGGGCCTGGGGCCACACTCAGGTCGGAGAGGCCTTGTGCAGGGCACGTCCCAGGCGCTCGAGGAATGCGAGTTGCCTGAAAGAATGAAGGAAGGAAGGAACGGGGTGCGATCCAGGGCGGCCGCCCAGCCGGGGCAAAGCTGCCGAGGCAGGAAGCCGGGTGGGGGAGCGCCGAAGCTGCAGCGGCCCGAGCGCAGCTGGGGGCAGCGGGAGAGCAGTTGGGTCAGCGACTCCGCTGGGTGGGGGGCCCCCCGGGCCGAGAGGCTGGGAACCGGGAGGCCACGCTGCTGGCAGAGTGGCGGGGGTGCCGCGAGGCTCCGGATGGGCTGGGAGCCCCGCCCGCAGGCTGCGGAGGGAGCCGGAGCCAGAGCGGAGCCAGAGCTCAGACATCCGGGCGCCAGCGAACACCTGCGAGCAGCCCCCAGGGCCCGCGGGGGGAGCGCGGGTCGCCGGGCCGGGGGCGGGACGAGGGGCGGAGCCGGCTCCGCCCTACTGGGCTCCAGGCCACGTGGGCCGAGGCTCCGCCCCTGCCCGGACGCCAACCGGCCGCGGATGGGGAGTGGCTTTCTTCTTGCTGGGCCAGGAGCGGGCAGAGGGTTATCATAAGAAGCATCTCTGAGAGAGCGAGCGAGAGGAGGCTTTTAGGGTGTATCCTGGGGAAAGGAGAAGAGTGGTGGCGATGAGAGGTAATGAGACCGGGAAGACAGATCATTGAAGGTTGTCCCGCGCATCCATAGCTAGGGAGAGCTATAACTGGCCTTCTCGAAAGGGCACTACCATCTCCTGTGTCACAGGTGTAGATTCGAATCCCTGCTTCGTTACTCAGGAGCTGTGTGGCCACGGGCATGTTACTTCGCCTGTTCTAAGCCTCCCGCCCCCCCCCCCCAAAGTAAAAATCCCTTTCAAATGGCCGTATTTCAAAGCTAATGTTACAATGAACGTTAAGGCACGCGGTTAATAGTGAATCTTGTATTTCAGGGATCCTGGTAGATGCTTTAGGTGTGTTATCTTTAATCTGAACCAAAAACTTTCAAGGGAAGGACCATCATCCTTTTACAAATGGAAAGGAGACCTCGGGTGGCCTTAGGTCGTTCGTTCAGCGAGCACCCGCTGGGGACCAGATATGTGCCAGGGACAGGGGAATTTTGCAAGGGAAAAGAGCTGGCCCAGAGTAGAGGTGAGAACATGGGTTTTGAAGTTGGGTTTATCAGTCCTTGCTGTGCCACTTCTTTGCCAGTGACCAGATGAAGTTATTCAGACTCTCTGGATGTTTTCTCTGTAAAATGGGAATGATACTTTGCTAGGGTGTGGTGAGAATGAGAAAAAACGAAGATAAAATAGACCCTGACACTTGGTAGGCACTCAATAAATGATGATGACAGGAGACACTATTCTCTCAGTTTTCTGACCAAAGGCCAAATTGCTTTCACTCTCTAATGACTAATGAATTGGTGTGCTGGTTTCAGCTTTTGTCTCACCCACCTGAATAGCCCAGCCTCAGCAGACCTAACAGGCAATTTCCTTGGAATTAGCTTAATAATACCTTGTAGGTGTGTGATACATTTCAAAGAACTTTCCCACCATTATCTCTGTCCAGGGAGGCAGCAGTAGAAGAACCACCAGCTGCTAGGCAAGGGAGGAGAGATCCTTGCAGAGGTGAAGGGGCTTGCTCTTTCTAGCCTTCCACAGCTCCACAACTTCTGAGCAAGCAGGAAGCAGCATGCTGTGGCAGAAAAGGTACACAAAGTTGAGTTCAGTGTCTGGTTGTACTGCCATTAATGGTGTAATGTGGGGCCAGGTGCCTCTAGAACTGTACCCTTAAGATCAGTTTTATACAGATGTGAAAACTGAGGCTCAGTTATACAGCTAGGATGTGACAGAACAATGATTTGCAGCCTTGTGTGGCTGTCTCCAGAGCCAGCACAGCCCACCTAACTAATGATCCAAGGTAGACCCAGCCTGGGTCTTGTACTTACTTGATTTGAAGTGAGAGTTCCTCACACGAGGGCTTCCTGCGGGATTGGAGGTCTGCTATTCCTCGGCAAAGGTGTATGTGTGTGTGTATTTTCTGAAGGGAGTATTCGTACCTTCCATCAGATCATCAGAGAAAAACCATGAAACAGGTTAACAACCACTGGTCAGCTGGGAGGAAGGTTGGCAGAGACAAGTTGCCTCCCCACCACATGCCCCTGTTCACCCCTGAAAGCTCACCAGGGTTAAGGTGTGAAAGGTGATGACGTGAGCTGTTTGTTATGAAATATTGAAGTAACTCATGCCAGGGACCAACACACAGATGAGATCATATCATAAACAGGAACCTGGTGAGGCCAGGAGCCTGTGGAGCCCACCTGGGGAGCTGCCAGGTGGGGGCAAAGTGGTATGAGTTGAGGGCCTGGTGCCATGGAATAGCCAGTCTCAGGCCCTGCTCCTGTTCATTACAACGTTGGTCACTTAGGATTAAAATTCTGGTCTCAAGGGGCTGTGAGAAACTGGCTCAGACCCATTATCCAGAGCCTCAGTTTCTCCATTTCTGAAATAGGGGATAAAAATGCTTACAGAGTAGGCTCCCAGTAGGAAATACCAGAATAGATGAGGTTCTTCCTCAAATTCCCAGTCCAGTATAAACCTTCAACTACTTGATTGATGGTAGAGGATAAATTGGTATCCAGTATTACCCAACGAGCCCGAAAATCCTTCTGATCAGAGTGGCTGGGGATTTGAGGGCAGAGACCCTTCTGTTCTCCAATTTTGGAAGCCCAAGAGTAAGACAAACCAGAGAATGTGAGGAGGGAAATGAAACCAGACCCAGTGATCTGTTTATTCATCTCTGAAATGGGCTTATGAACCACCACCCGTCTGGGCACCAGGTGAGGCTCCTTTTCCACATCCCCTGCTAGAAAGACATCATGAATAATTAACGGTTGAAGAAGACAGCCATCTGCTAATCTAGCAGATGGGACTTAGACCTGGTTTCTGAGCTCCCAACTTGCTGGGTGAGCTAGTGCCCGTCACTTCCCCTCTAGTCTTCCCTCATCTGTAAAATGAGGGGACAGGGCCAGGCTATTCTCTGCACAGCACCCAACAACCTTCAGTGGATGTAGGGCTCCCATCATGAGCCCTTTCCACTCCCCTCTCCATTCCAGTCTTAGCTGGGCATTTTCCCACCTCCTTTTTACGGGAGTAAGTGCACTTTTCCCAAGCTCCAAGGACATGTCTTTTCCCTAAATTCAGCCGTGTGAGTGGTAGCACTTAAGGAATCAAATTACATACACAAGTGTTTAAAAACTGTTTATTATGCAAAATGTTAACTTTTATAAAAAGTTTAATAACATACATCGCATGGTTACAGAAAGTCACCTTCCTGCAAAAAGGTACAAAAGCTATATACTCTATTATAGAGTTCATAATCAGGGCAACAGAGCCTTTTTTCCGAGACCAGAAGACCAGCTCTACCGCTGCCTTGGCCGAGTTTGGAGAGCAGCCACTCCCCCCCACACTCTGAAAGGCAGTCTTTAAAACTTGGGGATCGGGTGGGGCTGGGTGACGTTGCCCAGCTGGTGCCCAGAGCTAGCTCTGGCTCTTTAGGCCACCCAAGTTCACAGTCCTTCGCTCCGGGGCGCCAGGTCCAGCCTCGAGGCAGGGATTTGAGGAAGTCAAGTGGGCAGGGAGAGGTTGGGGCCCATCCATGCCCTCGGGCTTCTGGCTGTAGAAGGTCCCGGGGTCCCAGGCGAACGGGTGCCAGCACCTGCGTTCTGGGCGGGGGAGGAAAGAAGACCAGGGAGCCGTCAATTTCCGCCGAGCGCGCCGAGGAGGCCGTCCGCAGACTGGCCGGCGCCAGGGAGGAAACTTGGTCTCTACCTCCAGCTGATAACTCCGCGCCCCACGCTGCCCCCACCCAGTTGGCGCCAAAGGACCACAGGCGGAGCTTGGAATAGACACTAGTTGGGAGGGGGCTGAGGAAGACGCAGCTCCCTTTACCGTTCCAAACTACAAACAAAACGGCTATTTTATTTAGTCGGACCTGAGCTTATTTTCCCGGGTCTTTGGCCACTGGGGGAGGGCAGGGGCAACGTGTGTTTAAGGTTCAAACGCACATTGGATGAGAATTGGTTCTGTCATTCATCTGATATGCCCACCGGCAAGTTACTTGCCCCTCTCTGGCCGTGGTTTCCCTGAACAAAGGGAGTGGTAATCCCTTCCTTAAAAGGCCTACCAACTCCAAGATTTACTGTTTAAGCATCACCGCACCCCCGCTCCCACCCCCACCCCCCGAGAAGGTGGGGATACTCACCTATAAGCTCCAGGACAGCCAGATCAGTGGCAGAAACTCCTTTTGTCGTTGGAGATCACAAGTTCCGGAGAGAGTTCGGCTGTCTGAAAGAAGGACAAGAGTTACGCATGGCACTTGGGAGTTGAAGGGTTCCAGCAGCATCCCAGCCCCGGAGCTCAGCTCCGCCCCGGCTCCTGCGCACGCCCACGCGTACCTGGATGGAAAGATGCGGGCCGTCTGGGGGTCCAGGGGTGGGCTCGGCCAGGACCACCTGCAGGTCGAGGATGTAGTCTATGACGCGCTGCAGGATTTCCACCTGGCTAAGCTGAGTGCCTCGCGGGACTCCGGGTACTAATTCCCGCAGACGCGAGTAGCAGTGGTTCATATCGTCCAGCAGGCTCAGCGGCTCCTCCGCTGCCGTGCCCTTGCTGCGGCCTCGCGCGATGGCCAGGCTGCGTTCCGACAGGCAGCACACTGCCTCGTAGCAGCCACGCACGGGGCTTAGCGCCTTCATGCTGAGGAATGAGGTTGAGGTTAGATGTCCCGAAATGAGAAAAACGCACGAGAAGCCCTAGAACAGCTAGCAATGCACGCACGCTAATCGCGGCCTGTACTTATAGAACCAGCCTTGAAAGCACGCCCCTTTATGCAAAATATTCCGCCTCAGCCCCGCCTCCGCCAACCCTGGGCGTTCATAACCCGGTTAAATTGCAAACAGGCTTTCGCCGGCTGGGCTGACGCCGAATACCGCGTAGTCGTGGATTCAAAGAATGAGGAAGCGTTGATACTAGTTATTGGGGAGAGGCGGGACTCTTTGCCAGCAAGGATTTTAAAAATCACTTAAAACCATTAACTTTAAGAATTTGCCTTTTCCTGGCAGCGCCCCAGATCTTTGAGCTTCCCTGCCCCCCTGCTAGTCTACCCACAGCCCAACACTAGTTCGAACCCACAGCTCCTCCGAGGTCATAAATCCCTGAACAGCAAAGAAGCCTTTTTTTTTTTTTTTTTAAAGCAAAAGATTTTTCAAGGGAAACTTGTAAGGAATTAGTGCCGCCTTGTTCCCCAATTTGCTGTTCGTCTGACCTCCAGACTCACTGGCGTCAGGAATTATCTTGTGACCAGAGGGGAAAAAAATTAATTGCGGTGAAGCTGAGGTTACAATGAAGAAAACAGATTTGGGCTAGGCGCTGAGATTGCAGAAGGAGGAGGGGAAGGGGGTTTGAGCAAAAAACACTATTTATTTGAGCAACAGGGGAAAAGAAAAAAAAGAAAGCTGCCTGAATCGGTGCTTTTTGCATAGGGAAGGAAAAGAGCTCCCACCCTCTGGCCCCATGCGCTCCATAAGAAGCCAAATATATGCCCAGTTATGTTTTGGAAGTGAGTTTGATTAGAATTTTGGACCGAGTTTTGAATGTGGGGGGAGGGGTGACAGAAGGGGATGATTTCTATATAACCTTTTTAGGAGCCCCCTATGGAGTCAGCAAATCTCTTAATTCTTGCTTCCTCCTTCCCCCCCCCCCCCCCCCCCCCCCCTCTCCACACACCTCTATGCAGAAAACAATAGTTTGGTAATTTCAGTGCTCTATTGTCTGTCCCTTTCGGCTATGGAAGGGAAGGCACCTGGACTTGATTATTCTTAGCCTTGCTGAAATAGCTCCAGCTCTATCTGAGAACCCAGAAAAGGGACCAGAGGACAGACAAGCCTTGCGTTGCAATAGGACATAGCATTCAGTATGCTTTGCTTGTCTTTTTATCATTTTCCAGGACTTTTGGGAATTTGCAGCCTTAAAATGCTGGTTGCCATCTTGAAACAGACCAAGTGGGATTCCCCCAATGCTTAATCAGTCAGTTGGTAAATATTTATGGAGTTACTTCACATAAAGCAGTGGCTCCTGCTCTCAAGAATCTCGCAATTTGGGGAGACAAGATTAACACAGGAAACAATTAAGAGTTCTATAGTATGTGGCACTGATTAACAGGACAATAGGAGCTCAAAATAGTCATAGTAAAAAGGACATAAACCTGGAAATCAGGAGCTCTAGGTTCAACATCCGCAACCTTGCCAATAATTTGTCATGTGATCTTGAACAAGCCCAGCTACCCTGGCCTTATTTGCCTTGTGAATAAAATGGGGATATGGTGCTAAGTGATTATTTGAATTCCTTTCCAACTCTAGAAGTCTAAGCATTTATGAAATTTAGACAGGCAGGTGTGGGATGGTAAAGGGCACAAAGAGTGGCTATAAAACATGTCCAATGTCACACCACAAGTAATGATAGAGCCAGATCTGAAGTCTTGTTCTTTGCCATCATACTGCAGGGCTCTGTGTCCCAAGAAAGATCTTCGAAAGATATGAATGTTTTCAAGGACAGCCTCTTTAGTATAAGAAAAAAGAGGAAAATAACCTGTGAGTGGATAAGTCAGTCTATATATACTACAGATATCAAGTGAAGAGCCAGCTATTTAGTCATGGGAAGGGAAAACGGTGGCTATGGAGACTCTTAAATGACAAAATAGAAAGCCCTTTCTGTTTCTATCATGCAGATTTCCATGGTTGTGCAAAATGGTAAAGTCCAGGAGGTTCTGGAAAAATCACAGCTTTCAGGGCCAGGCAGATTTATGTTCAAATCCCCATTGTCTTTTTTTTTTAAATGATTTTATTGAGGAATTGGGGGAGGGGAACAGTGTTGGGGAATCGGGGAAGGGGAACAGACAAGTTGCTGTCCTTTTGTTCTTCAGTCTAGTTGCAGAGGATGTCGCTTCACTGGCCCATGTTGGTATTATCATTGTGCTCTTCCCAGATGAGGCAGTCACTTGTGGGCCATTGGACGGCTGCTCATGGAGGCTCACAGCAGCTCACGAAAGCTCATGCCCACTGTCGGCCACCCCCACTGCAGCCTATGCCGTCGCCAGTGACTCATGGCAGCCTAGCTCCAGGTGGAGCTGTTATTCACCGTCTTAGCTGTAGAGGGTGCAGCGTCACTGGCCCTCGTGGGATCTGAACTGGGGCCATACTGCTGAGAGCTGGCACCCCAAGCCAACTCCTAACCAACGCACCACTCGGCCAGCCCCCCATTGTCTTTTACTAATGACATGAACTTTGGGTAGGTCACCTCTCTGTGCCTCAATTTTCCAATTTATAAAATGGACTTAATTAGACCAACCTCATTCCTTCAACAAATAATTACTGAGTGTCTCTTCTTTGCTAGGCACTTGACAAGCTCTCTCCATCGGATCTGTGAGTCTCCTGGGTGCCTGGGGGCTCAGCATGGGTCAGTGTGTGGTATGTGTGTAGTCCACAGGTCCTCGCAGGCTCGCTCCTTTTCCCTCTTCTTTTATTACCACTGATGCCTCAGGCTTGTATAGCAATTTACAAAGCACCCTCATATGTATAATTTCCCAAGATGCTTTCAGATTGAAATGCTTTTGGGCTGTGACCGAAGGCAAGAGAGGGATGCCCTGGAATTAGCAAGCTGAGTTGTGTCCTGGCCATGCCAGTAACTTGTAACGTGGCCCTGCACGAATTTCCTTCCTTCCTGGGCCTCATTTTCTGTAAAATTGGGGCTGGGAAAGCAAATGACCTCTAAAGCATCCTCTCCAATCTAACATTCTAATTCTGAAAGAAGCAGGCTAAGGTTGGAACCCTGAATGAATTTTGAACCCCAAATACTTTTTTTCCCATCAGCGGACTGGAGGGCTAGCTCAGGCCTTCTACAACTTGTGTAGTGGTGGCGGGGCCTCAGCCTCTTATTCCAAATGCCTCTGAACTTTCTGTTCCCAGTTCTGCTCCTTTTACCAGCTTTTTCCCCCCTCTTGCATTTTTTATTTTTATGAAAGGATGTCATTAAGGCTTTTGTCTGCGCTGTTTTTGTTTCAGAACTTTTCTCACAATCCTATTTTTTGTTGAGGAATCCGCTCCTTTGCCCAGCTGTGGGTCCCGGTCCCACAGCTGTGTTGATCTAAGACTCAGCCCCAGACAGCCTGGCGCCAGGGTGGGACGTCATGCGTTCACACAGGGATGCGTGTCCCAGGCAACCTTTCCTCAGGCAGTCACCGGCCGGCGACGGCCGCCCCCACCAATGAGCGCCCGACACCCGAGAAAGGGGCGGAGTCTGCGCCACCAGGACCCGCGAGCGGCTTGTGAATTGCAGATGCTGAGAACTTGATAACGTTCCTTGAATTGGGGCCTTTTTCTCTTTTTTTTAGTCTTTTTTTCCCCTCTCTTACTTTTCTTTCTTTTATTCTTTTTCTTTCCATGGACTTCCTTATCTATATATGTATATAGTTCCTCCTCCTCGTCGTCTTCCTTTTTTTAACTATCTCCTCCCAGTGTCTGGAATTATTTTGTAAGCGTTTCCAGGAACTGAATCTTCCTTTGCCAAAATTAAGAGAGAGAGAGAGAGAAAAGAAAAAAATTCAGTGTAGTGCTCTCTGATTTTTTTCAAGAGTTGGCAGAACCATTAAGTTATACTGTTTTGTCTTTAAATTTTTAAAAACTGGTGGGGGGTCTCTGAGCTGTGGATTTCAAAGCCAAAGTAATGATGATGAGAATTGCAGATGTCTTTTTGCCTAAACTGAACTCTGTCTATCTGTCTACCTATTTTTTTGACATTTATGTTGAAAGTGGGGATCAAGGAAACTTCAGAAACTTGCCCAAAATTACTTGGGATGTCAGCTGCTGATGCGTGCAGACCTCCCCTTCATTCGGCTCTCTGTCCACTCTGCCTCCCAACTCTCATTAGCATTAGGGTGGTCTGCTCTGGTCTCAGAACATCTCCAGACACTGCATTTCCTAATTTGTACCTGTTTGCTCACAAGTTGCCTATAAAGGTGTGCTGAAGACTTAGCAGCTGTATACACAAAACATATCCCTTCTCCCCTGGCAAGGCTAGACCTTAAAGTACGTATTGTTTGAGACTGTATAATACAAGAAAAGCACAGGGAATTCAGAAGCAAAGCCAGGCTCTAATCCTTGTGCACACTGCCTAGCCCCACTCTGCCTCAGTTATCTTCCCTGTAAAATGGGGAGGAAAATAATGTTCACTTATTTCATGGCTGGGAGGGTCAAAGGAGACAAGGGATGGAAAGTGCTGTGGGAACAAATTACTGTAGTGATTTTCATGTGTTACGATGTAAAGTGGACCCTAGTGAGTGGGATAGGTGGTGCCAGGTGAGTTGAATGGTTCCTGCTGAGAGTGTTTTCAGGAATCTGGGCAATACTGAGAAGGGGAGTATGGGGAGCATCTGGAGCTAAGGCATGAGTTCCTGTATGGGTAAGGATTTCAGGGGCCTCCAAGATGAGCTACTCTACAGTTCAGAAGTACTTGGTATCATCTTCATCATCATCATCATCATCATCATTCTTCAGGAAATCTTAACTGTTTGCCAAGTCCTGTTTGCTTTTTTGCACATTTTAACTCATTGAGCCATTTTATGGACAAGGAGTCTGAGATGCCAAGAGGTTAAAATGCTTTCCCACAGTCACATAGCTAGTAAGTGGCAGATCCAAGATTTGCAACCAGGTCTGCCTGTCTCAAAGAGCGTGTCCTCAGGTGCCTAAGATTTTTGTTCCACTCCTTCAAGGGACCTCCTGCGAAGGTGGC